TGGTCTACGCATCCTCGACATTTTTATTTTGCAGCACAACTTGAAAGTGGGCTCTAACTACGGACGGAATCCGCCCATGCACCACGCTGACATTCTCACGCTCGCACAGACTGCAACCTTGTGCCGTGGCATTATTGCCGAGTCGCCGCAGCTTGAATTTGTCAATCAGCTGGTCTCAAAACCGCTCCGTCAATCAGCCTATCTAGCATCTACAGTGCTTGATTACGGATTGGAGAGATGGCGCCAAATTTTTGAGACGGCTCGATTTGACACTCAGGCTCTGGAGGCAAATCTTCATCACACCCGGCAGCACAATGACAGCATAAAGGAGCTCCTCCTGAAGCAAATTGCCTTCACTAAAACCGGTAAATTGTCCAAAGCGGATTTCTTCAACTCACTATGTCTGGCGGAGCTGGTCTATGAAGCAGCCGCTGGGTTTTCGTCTCAGGAGCGTGCACTTCTTCGCCAGGTGCAGACGGAGCAGAAATTAGCACGGCGAAATTTGTCTGAATGCCCACTGGATACCACACTGATGTACAACATCGCAGTCTTCTCAAACTCGAATCAACGCCTCAAACTGAGACGTCGGAGCTTTGCTACACTGGCTCCGAAGATTAACAGCATCAGAATCAATACCATCTGCGAACCTGGTCACTGAGCCGAGTTTACTTCGGCCGTTGGCTGCCAATATCCTCCAAAAACCAGTATCCACCGAGAAAACCCCACCGGAAACGCACGAAGCTCAAACTTGTTCAGCAAATGCCAGTTATAACACACCCGAGGTTTCTGTGACGATTTTCCGTAAAACAATTCTCCAGAACACATGCGCAAGCTGCGCGCATTAGGTAACTCGATCCCGAACGCGAACGGAAAATGGGAGCACATTCATGCCGTATACACGTCGTATTATCCTGACCTACCACTGTCCATCAACGCACTTCGGTGCCGACTAAAGGAAAAGAAGACTTCTCTGAAGGTGGCTAAGACATCCTCACCAAGCATCACACTGCAGAAACGTAGCAGGGAGACGTCTTGTAGTAGCTGCCGCCAGCGCAAGAAGAGATGTGGCGACCTCACTATCAATCCGCACTGCACTCAACCTAAGAATTCGAGCGGCAACAACAACAGAGCACAAAACGTCAGCTTACACCAGTTTCTTGTAAG